CTGACTTCCTGCCCTTTGGGCAGGGGGCTGGACTTGATGATCTTCCGAGGTCCCTTCCAGCCCTAATGTCTATGAAATCTATGAATCTATGAAACTCTGCACTGCCACCACTGCCACACCTCACCATGGCAGCATGGCACTCCCTCCTGTGCCAGGTCCTGCCCGCTGGGCCATGGAAACAGCTCCTGCCTGGAGCTGGTCTGGCCTGGCTGCAGTCCTGCACCCCACTGTGGGCACAGTAACCTTGGGGGGGCATGTGCTCCCCGTGCCCCCCTGTCACATCACCTATGTCTCCCCAGCCCCCCCCACCCCCCATGTATCACCAGTGCCCACACCCCACCTTCCACACACACACCCACTCCCTTCCTCACACTGGGAGTAGGGGGCTGTGGGTCAAGGGTGGGGGCACCAGCAGGGCAGGGGGGCTGTGGGTTGAGAGTGAGGGGCACTAGCAGCTGCTAGGGGACTGGGTAGGGAGTGAGGGGCAATAGCAGTGCTGGGGGGCTGTGGGTCGGGAGTGAGGGGCAACAGCATGGGCAGGGGGAGGGCATCGGTATATCAAGGCTGCTCAGTGCCATAAAGCAGGGGAGACAGCCAGGGACAGGGGGAGCAAAGGGTACAGGGGGAGCTCTGATTTTCCATAATAAAAATACAAAATCAAATGCAAAAATGTATAGGTATTTTGAATTTATTTTATTGTAATGATTGAGGCACTGGTAGGCTTCCAATTTGCTTTAAAATTGTAAATATATCAATAAAACTTCGTGTTCAACCAATACTTATACCTATAGTGGTGTTTCATTTTAACTGTGGAAACATGCAGATTTGGGGGTTTTTAATTAGAGAATTTGCCATTTTTATCAGAGAATTTGTGACTAGAGAAATAAATAGAGAAAACCAGGATCTCTGCTCAAAACTAACGAAGACTAGTTGCAACATAGGCATAAGATATCAAGGAAAGAGGCTCACACACGCTTCCTGAAGATATCTGTACTGTAGACTAGCTGTGATTAAGTATGCCTTTTACTTTAATTGAATTCCCATCATTATCCTCCACAATGGACAAAATCACACTTGTCTGCTGAAAAACAGCATGTTAAACACTATGAAAATGTCCATTTGACAAAGGATTTGTTTTTATATTTGATATCCTGAGGAGGTTTGTCTTGGCATATTTGTTTATTTCCTGTTAACACTGATTTTCTTCAGGAAGCTATAAATCCAAACCAAAGTAGAACCTGTTAGGTGGTTTGAAATAGACTTAATGAAAGTTTTATAGTTTTAATCCCCTGAACCTAACACTTAAAAGGGCTTATTTATGATACATTTTGTTCCTGCTCAAGCGGTTGAGTCACTGTTGCCCCAACTTCCATCTGTTCCACAGAGAATCTCTTGATTGTGTATTAACCAAAAGGCTCACTTTTCTAAGGAATCTCCTGAATCCCTTTTAAAATGTAGGATTCGCTCAGATGTGTTTAATCTTTCACTTCACAGAATGGCGAGGTGCTTCCTCTGAAGATAGTCACTTACACGACTGTATCCATCTCACTGGTGGCTTTGTTGATGACATTTATACTGCTGGCTCTGATCCGGACACTGCGCTCAAACTTGCATAGCATTCACAAAAATCTGGTGGCAGCTCTTTTCTTCTCTGAATTGGTCTTCCTTATTGGAATCAACCAGACGGAAAACCCGGTAAGGACCACTTCAATGCTTCTGGAATACCAATTGGCATATTACTACCAAACCCAAGCATTTGTACAACTTTAAATCTGGTGTTCCTGTTGAAAATGTCAGCTGTTTATCTGTTTCGCTTTTTTTTTTCTCCTTTCTTCCCCTTAAGGAATTTTTTTTTAAATATAAAGCCAACACCTTTTTTTTTTATATACAGTGCTGATTGTGTGGAGAGCAATGAATTGTTTTATTAGACAGAACTATACTCCTGCTAGCTAGGTCCAGACAACATGGACTCAAACATAATATTTCCAGATATCATTCTCAAGACTAACAGACACCTTCTTAACATACTGATTTCTTCCATCACTTCTGTCAGATTACATGCTGCCTTGCTTTGTCTCTTCAGTAGGGCTTGCAACAGTTTATTCTGAAGCACTCTTTTATAGGCATTCCCAGTGCCTAGAGGCATGTTGCCAACTTCATGTGCTGTTCAAGTATGGGGTGCTTCCCATGCTCATATGATGATACTGGAGAAGCCAATTACTGAGCACAGACAGACCTAGGAAACCTGTTGCCTAGCGTTGTGCTTTCATAGTTTCATAGTTTCAGGGTCGGAAGGGACCTAATAGATCTTCTAGCCCGACCCCCCGCCAGGGCGGGAGAACAACCCAAAAACACAAACAAAACCACTCACCCTAAAAACAAAAACGGGACTCAAATGAGTCCAGCCAGGTAAGTATCCAGCCTCTTCTTAAAGATCCCCAGGGTAGGGGCCAGCACCACCTCCCTTGGAAGTTGGTTCCAGCTCCTAGCCGCCCTGACTGTGAAGTAGTTTTTTCGGATGTCCAATCTGTACCTCCTCTCCATCAACTTGTGCCCATTATTCCTTGTTATGCCAGCAGGGGCTAGGGGAAACAGCGTCTCCCCCAAACCCTTCTGGTTCCCCCTAGTGAGTTTATAGACGGTCACCAGGTCCCCCCTCAGCCTTCTCTTGTGGAGGCTGAATAGGTTCAAGTCCCGCAGTCTCTCACTGTAGGGTCTGCCCTGTTGTCCCCGGATCATGCGGGTGGCCCTCCTCTGGACCCTCTCCATGTTGTCCACATCCCTCCTGAAATGGGGCGCACAGAACTGGACACAATACTCCAGCTGCGGCCTGACCAGCGTCGCATAGAGGGGGAGGATCACCTCCCTGGCTCTACTCGAGATGCACCTGTGGATGCACGACAAGGTCCGGTTAGCCCTGCCAACCATGACCTCGCATTGTCGGCCCATGTTCATCTTGGAGTCAATAATGACACCAAGATCCCTTTCCGCCTCCGTGCTCTCAAGTAGGGAGCTCCCCATCTTATAAGTGTGCTGCTGGTTCCTACTACCCAAGTGCAGCACCCTGCACTTGTCCGTATTGAAACGCATCCTGTTCCTGTCTGCCCACCCCTGTAACCTATCCAGATCCTTCTGCAATCTCTCTCTCCCTGCTAGCGTGCTCACCTCCCCCCAAATTTTGGTGTCATCAGCGAATTTAAACAGGTTGCTCTCCACCCCAACATCAAGATCGCTGATGAAGACATTGAACAGCGCAGGGCCCAGGACCGAGCCCTGAGGGACTCCACTACCCACCTCCCCCCAAGTCGAATATGATCCATCCACCACCACCCTCTGAGTGCGACCCTTCAGCCAATCTGCAATCCATCTGACCGTGTAGGCATCTATGCCACAGTCGCCTAGTTTACTAATTAGGATGGGGTGAGAGACGGTGTCAAAGGCCTTGCTGAAGTCCAGAAAGACTACATCCACCGCGACACCTGCATCCATGGCCTTTGTGACCTGATCATAAAAGGCAATCAGGTTGGTCTGACATGATCTCCCCCTAATAAATCCATGCTGATTGCCCCTGAGCATCATCTCGGATGCCGGCCCATCACAAATGTGCTCCTTGATGATCTTCTCAAAGAGCTTCCCCAGGATTGAGGTAAGACTGACGGGCCTATAATTGCCCGGGTCCTCCCTTTTCCCTTTTTTGAAGATGGGGACCACATTAGCTACCTTCCAATCGTCTGGCACCTGGCCCAAGCACCACGATCGCTCGTAGAGCCGTGCCAGGGGCCCTGCAATAACCCCAGCCAGCTCCCTCAGCACCCTGGGGTGGAGAGCATCCGGACCCGCTGACTTGAACGCGTCCAGCCCCTCCAGAAGCTCTCTAACCCGGTCCTCCCCAACCTGAGGTCTGAAGGCGATCCCCTCGCGTCCGGCTTCTATCACAGCAGGGAAGTCCCGGTCCCTGCACAAGAAAACGGAGGTGAAGAATTGGTTAAAGAGGTCCGCTTTATCCTCTGACGCAACCACCAGATTGCCCCGCATATCCTGCAGGGGCCCCACATTACCCGGCGCCTTCTTCATCCTCCCAATATATTTGAAAAAGGACTTTTTGTTATCCTTAATCCTGGACGCTAATCCGAGCTCTATCTCCGCCTTGGCCTTCCTAACAGCCCGCCTGCAGGCCCGAGCAGAGGAGGTATACTCCTCTTTGGAGATTACACCCCCCTTCCACCGGGCGTACGCCACCCTTTTGGCAAGCAGGCATTCCCGGACACCCTTGGTGAGCCAGGGGGGCTTTTGGACACTCCTGCCCGCCTTGCTTCTTGTCGGGATGGACACCCCTTGGGCCCCGAGTATCGTTTCCTTAAGGAACGACCACTCCTCTTGGACGCTGAGTTCCTCTGCCCTCAAGGACCCCAGTTCCTCTCCCACTAATCTCCTCATCTCACTGAAGTTGGCCCTCCTGAAGTCTAGGGCCACCACCTTGCTGCGGGCCCTTGACACTCTACGCTGGATGGTGAATTCCAGCACGCGATGATCACTATTGCCCAGGTGGTCAAGAACCTGGAGGCCTCTTACCAGGTCGTCGCCTGCGGCCAGGACCAGGTCCAGCAGAGCATCTCCTCTGGTGGGACTGTGCACCTCCTGAATCAAGTGGAGGTCCTGCAACTCGGCCAAGAACCTCCTGGAGCGGTCCGTCCCGGCTGACTGCTCCTCCCAGCAGATGTCCGGGTAATTAAAATCGCCCATGACAACTACATCCCTTGCTTTTAGTGTCTCCGCAAGCTGGCCTGAAAATTCCCTGTCCAGCTCCTCCTCCTGATTGGGGGGTCTGTAATAGACCCCCACCGTCAAATCCCTCTCGCCTTGCCCCCCCTGGATCTTGACCCAGAGCACTTCAGCTCGCCCTTCCCCTGACCCCATACTGCTGGCAGAGGATGTGTAGTGCTCCTTGACATAAAGTCCCACCCCCCCCCCTGATACCCACAGGCATGCCAGAATAAGGAACATGGCTTTAAGTGTTAACTGCCCAGTCATGGGATGAGTCCCACCATGTCTCTGTTAACCCTACGACATCTGGATTTGAACTAGCTATTCTGAGGGCGAGTTCCTCCTGTTTGTTCCCCATGCTACGAGCATTGGTGTACAGGCATTTAAGGCCTTGCAAGACTGTGTGCCCCCCCACCCCCTGATTAGCCAGACCATCAGGACCCCTGTTACTTACCTTTGCCCCCCTTGCCCTGATGGCAAGACCCCCATTACTTACCTTTGCACCCCTTGCCCTGATGGCGTCTCCTCGTCTTCCTGCAGCCCCCTCCCCCGGCGAGTCTAGTTTAAAGCTCGCCGTACGAGATCAGCCAACCTGGAACAATAGAGCATGCATATTGCTGTCATTTCACTATGTGTTTCTTCACTTCATTGTGTGTGTCACAAAAGCTGGAATGAAACTGCGAGTGTACGTGATGTTTTCATGTTTCGTACTCCATGCTAGTAGTTGTTATTTTTAGTTGTTGTTTTCTGTAATGCAGATAGGCAGAAGCCAAGATCACTGGACCAAGGAGCTTATACTCTACAAAAACAAACAGTCAAAATATAGGTGGGGAATAAGAAGCACTGAAAAGCATATCATGAAGTAGGCAAATGGTGCCTAACTCATCTGGCCCTGCAGGCCGAGTGAGTGGAGTGGAGCCAGTCCACAGGCCTAATCCTGTGTGCAGGGTCAGTCCACAGGCCCAGTCAGGCCCAGTCCAGCTCACAAGGCCATTTCATTTGGCCCTTGGGGCTTCTCACGAGTCTGGAAATTTGGCAGCAAGACGAGTGATGGCAGCACTAATTGCTGCGGCTCCAGGAGCTGAAGCAATTGATGCTGCCACTGCTCCTCTGTCACCAAATTTCTGGACTTGTGGGGAGGCCCCATGGGCTGGATAATATGGCTCCACAGCCAGATCTGGCTTACAGGCCAGATCTTGAATCCCCTGAAATACGCCATTGCCTCTGAAAGGTCAAGCATCTTTGAACCACTTAGTCTCTAAGGTGTCAACTTGCTCTACCTTCTGCCTGCAATGCATACAGACAAGTCTTGATAAAAAATAAACACCATTAGAAATGTTTCTACAAATAATATATGAAAAATCCAGTAGAAACATTCCTTTGTAAACAGACTTTACTCTAAATCTTAATAAATGAGACAACAGACAAGACAAACTTCCCTTGCTCATGGGAAAAAAAGGAAAAGACTCATGGGCTTCTTGGGCAGAAGGGACCATTGTATTTATCTAACCCAGGGGGTTCTCAACCTTTTCAGGCTTACAACACTGTGCCATAACTTTTCTGGATTTATCAGCTCCCCAGTTTCCAGGAGCATACAGGGCCAGACCGGGAATCAACTATAACAGGAGGGGGGTGTTCCTGCCTGTATTAGATTTGCTAGATAAACTGCCCTGTGCACCTGTTTCCAGGAAGTAAGTGCAGGGATGGACTGGGAAGCAACAGTGGCAGGTGTGGATGCAAATAATGCAGCACCCTGGTTGAGAAGTACTGATCTAATCTGATCTCATATATACAGCAGGTCAAAGGACTTCACCCACAACCTTCTACATCAAGGTCATAATTTCTGTTGGTGCTATATATCTGGCCTTGATTTAAAGGCTTGAAGTGATGGAAAATCCACCACATCTCAAGGAATGCTGTTCATCATTCAAAATTTGTGGCTCAGTCCTAGTTTATACCACTTCAGCCTCCATCCACTGGATCTGTGTTGTGCCTTCTACTATCAGAAATCTCTTTGCCATGTAGATGCTCGTAGGTTTTGATCAAGGCACATTTTACTCAGTGGATAAATTAAGCCACTCATGTTTCTCACTAGAAAGTGATATTTCCAGACCTCAGATTGCTCTCTAGTTTTTAACTGAATCCCTTCCAGTGCTTCAACTTCCTTTTGGAATGTGAATGCCAGACCTGGATACCACATTCCAGGGGCTGTCTCACTATTGCATATAGTAATGCCACTTCCCCACTCCTGTTTGGTATTACCGTGTTTATGCATCCACGGATCTCACCAGTCCTTTCAGCTACAGCATCATACTGAGAGTTGGTCATGTTCACTTGGGTCACTTCACCTTACTCCTTTTCATTGTCTGCATTCCAGGTCACCGTCTTTTGTCTTGAAAGTGCAACCTGTGTCCTTTGTTCGTAAATGCTGCCCTTGCATTTGACTTATTGTTGTCCAGATCACCTTACCAAGTGATCCAGGCCTGGCTGCATCACTGAATTTTCCCCATACTTAAAAGACTGTACCACCATTTGTTGTCACCTCCATTTTACCAGCACCAGGTTTATGTTTCTTCCAAATCTGTAATATGGATTTTGAATAGCATGGGACAAAAACCGGTTCCTTGTGGCACCTCAGTGGAAACAACATAATTGAGGATAATTCCTCATTTGCAATTATATTCTGTGAACTTCTAGTATAAACTGCCAAGTAAATTGATGTAAAACAAGTAAAATAGCACATTTTATCAGGTTACTTCACAAACTTTATTGCTACAATAGTGGTATTTTCTGGGTTTTCTCTTCAGCTCCCTACCATTTTTATACTGCAAGACCTATTGTATCAACATGCCAGCCACATGATTGCCTTCTTAATTTTTCCCCTTGCCCTTCACCTATTATACGGTATTGTAACATCTTTAAACTTACGCCATGTTGAAAAGTCTAAGTTGGGGAACATAGTTTTGTACAAGGTAAGGCCACTCCCTGCAGCTTTACAAATTTGAGAATCAGGGAAGACGGGAAAGTTGTGCGCGATAGAGGCACTGATTCATCTGTCTGTGTGGAATGAGAGTTGTCTAGCAAGTCATGCACTGCTGAACATCAAAAGAAAAAATGTTGGAGCACAAATAATACTGAGGTGCTTGGCGCTGAGCCTGGCCTTTATGGGTTTCTGTAAATTAACAATCACATTGGAGAGAGAGGTTTTTAATCCCCCATAGCTTACTGATAGACAGAAATGATTTATTTTCTTTGTTCCTTACCTGATAAAGGTGGAATTTTCAGTGCAGCCCACACAGAGACATGCCAGTAGAAGCAAATAAAGAACCACACCTACATGAATACAACAAAAGGCTTGTTTTTTTTATAGGTTATATTTTCACCAATGTATAAAGGCACCAGGAAGTCAAAGGTATTGATATGACCCTGTCACTAAACTTCATACAGTTAAATGTGACAGAGAGTACTGAATCAGAGGGTCTGGCCTACTCAGACCCATGCAAACATGCTAAAATAGCCAGTCTCTGAAAGTGTACTGATTGTGATATACAGAGCACAAATAGTCTAAACCTGGAAAGGTAGGCCCAGTGAAGGGTGCAGGATCTTGTAGGATCTTGCATGTTAAAAGTCTGCAGTTGTTGCTAATTCAGACATCCTCTATGGTGTAGTGGCATCTGTCCCAGAGGATCCTTGAGGTTCACCAGTGAACGGCAGAGTCTCTGAAGCAGAGCAAAAGACCCCCTAACCTTTGTCAAGGGAACCTCGTATGACCCCATGTTCTCATTCCCCAAAAACTTTTTAAGGGGCATGAAGGATGAAATAGATCATCCATCCTGTCCACTAATTAGGCCTAATTTCCAACACACTGATTTTATCCATAATTTCCTAGTTTCATACTATGACCCTGGTATACTTAGGGCTATCACAAACCCTACCACCTTCTCCTTCAAGTACAAGGACCCATCTTCAATATTGCATCTCCTGACAGCAGATATTAACACAAAACTAAACTCTACCAAAGTGAAACACCCTGCTGCACATGCTGTTCTCTGCCTGGGGATACAGTGAGAGCTGCCACAAACCACACAGGAAAGATGTTGGTCACAACAGTAAATTCTCTACTGAAATATACTCTAGCATTAAAAGTGGTATCAGACTCTAGGTAGAATACATCTCTTGGGAAGTTTCTCTTGCACCAAAATAGAGATCAGTCTTCTTCTGAAAGCCCTGACCCCATCTGTGATTACATTCCTATGGTAACTTTGCTGAATTCACCTAACTTTTTGCTATTGTACAAGGAAAACCAATGCTAGGAAAAGGATTTGGAGGATCCTCTGAATCAAAATACAACAAAATGTCAGAGGTTGCAATGTGTGGCCTTGGTAAGAAACATTTTGACCCCTAACTTCCATTTGGCTTGTGAATCCTAAATGTAAAAACCATCAAATGTACAAAGATGTTAGTTTCAGAAGTTTGTTCTGGAGAATGGAGTATAATACTTGACCACATGTTGGATTGAGAGGTGTAATTCTCAATCATCACCTGAAACAGGCCACATAATCTAAAAATATAGGCTTTCATAATATGAACAGTTTTGCTGAACCTCCCAGAACCAGGATAAAAACAATTAAATTGGTTTTACTGTATTATCCTCTCAAAATCTTACAAGGATTTTCTTTAGCATGCTGCGAAGATCCAGTCTTCCATGCATCACAGCATCTGGTAGTTCAACAGGAGCAGCTTTAACAGCAGTGTTATTTTTCTTTCCCCAGTTTGTGTGCACCGTGATAGCCATCCTCCTGCACTACTTCTACATGAGCACCTTTGCCTGGATGTTTGTGGAGCAACTTCACATCTACCGCATGCTGACTGAAGTGAGGAACATCAATTTTGGACATATGAGGTTCTACTATGTTGTGGGTTGGGGAATTCCTGCCATTATAACAGGTAAGGGAAACAGGTAATGGGAAGCCACCACTTCTGGAAAGTCAAAACACCTTTGTTTTGTTTCCCCTTTTCCACTTATAAGCCCTATACAAGAGAGCAATTCAGAATGTGCCTAGTAAGTTGAGCATGTGATTACGTGCTTTCCTTATCAAGCCTAGGTTGAAAAGTAAGCAAGAAGATGTCAGACTGAACCTGGGAAATCAGTGCACCAGATGCCTTTTGCCAAACCAAAACAATTTGCTTATGTTTACAGTGGTATGAACATAACTGAATTTAAATGAAAACAAGATGCCTCAGCATTGCCCAGGAACAACATTATATGTATTGTAATTACTTTACCTGTAGCGATTTTGCTCCTCCTGCACAGAGAAACTAATAATGCCCATTTTTGCAGTCAGGCATGTGAAACATTACCTTAAGTACATAGAATAATGTTGAAACAAGCACACAAGAAACTGGGAGAGTGAGTTTTACAGAAGAGCTAGGGGCATTTGTTTTTGTTTAAAATGCTTCAGGATATATCTATGTTAATATGTAAAATAATCAGGCACTAAATACTTTTTCATACATTGGGTTTATTCTTGCAGATAAAATACTGTCATTAATAGCGGACGTTTTAAGGTCTTCAGATGGGAACAGACGGCACTCATTTTTCTGAGTGAGACTTCTCCAAACATATGATTTTTTTCTGTGTAGTACAGATGTCTTTTCTAGGGCTGGTTTGTTTTCTACAGCCCTCTAGGAGAAAAAAGCTGGGGAGGCAGGGGGGAAGAGGAATTGCTTTTATCTAGTCATCTAATAGATAGCAGGAAGATTCTCCTAGTTCCAAGACATTCCCTGTTTTAGATAGGCAATTGCATTTGTCATTTTAGAATCTTTCAGACTAATGAAACATTTTAGCTGACATTTTTGCCAGCAGATTGACTACAAATAATAGGTAATGTGATGACTCAAAATAGGGGCACGGTTCATGAATAGCCACCATGAATCATGTTTGATTTCACGGGGTGTCAGAACTCCAAAGTGTGAAAATGTGTTCCTTGGGAAACGCATCATCCTGCACGTGTGACTGGCAGGCAAGTAGGAGGCTGATCTCACGTGTTCCCTTAGCACTGCAGGCCACTGTGTCTAGTCACCAAATCAACATTAGTCCCTGTTAGCCTGAGCTTACATTTCATAGCAGTCTAATTTTCACTCCTTTTGCTCAGGGTGAGTAGAAACTAGGGTGAGTAGAAACTAGGATTTAATTATACATTGGGCTGTTCATTTCCTCTGGTTTACTCATGATTAGAACTTCATGATTCTGCCCCTCTATCCAGCTTATTGATTTTGAGAACTCTGGAACACAGTGAAATACCTCATGTAGTTGCATATATTGTAGCAAATGCATATTTTGTTTTTGGTATATGGTAGGAAAATTGCTGGCTCATTCTGGTGCCTCTAAACACATTTCAGTTAACTAGCATTACCCCCTGCACAAGTACACCTGAATCATTGTAATTTAGAGATCTTGGGAGTTGTGTAATAGATTTTTAAAGTACATGTTGGTTGTTTGAGGCTCCAAATATAAGTGAACCAAATCCAAGAGTGGGTCAGTGGCTTAAAAATAATCTAATACTATCCTGTTCTAAATTAGGGGGTTTACAGCATTTACTTGTTAGGATTTTATAGTGCTGATCTGTTGTTAATCTCACACACATTTACCTGAGCACCTGCATCTCTGTAGCAACAGTCATTGCAAAAAAGAATCAAGTACATGACAGCTGTTTTATATCATTGTAAACCCAGGCAGTTTTCTCACAAGGGAGCAGATCTCACCCTAACCTCCAAGGGTGTGGAAAGTCCCCAGAGGTCTACTGTGCATGTAGAAGAACATAACTATGCTCAGAGAAGGGGGTAGACCTAACTGGTTCTGTCTTGGTTTCCTTAAATATTTTGGCAATCCTTGTTGGGGCAGTTGAGAATAATTGAATTGAACTGAGAACTATTAAGATTCCTTGCCACCTATATGAAATTCCCCGACCCAATTCCACCCTTGGATAAAGTACTCTTTAAATTACCATTGACTTCAATAAAAATTAAACCAGGCTGAAGCTAGCCCCTCTTTTATTAGAAGGTTATAGGGTAGGATTTGGAGAGTGAAACAACTTTTACTGTCTGCCAGTTATTCTTAGAGCCAGATGTTTGGGCAAATCATGGTTAAGTTCTCACTAATGGGGAACTTGAGTCCTAGAAAATGGCTGGTGTCTGCAGAATTACTTCTGTATACAAATATTTTATGGTGCCTTAATAACTTATGTGTAATTCTTTCTGGAAAGCAACGGCTGAAGTGTGTGGTGCAAGGACCAATCATAGTGAAGGGGGAGAGGGCAGTTCTATTTCATCCCACACTGCACAGAAAATGTATCCCCTAGCCATCCCTTTGCCAGATAGCCACAATTGAATTTTCATAAGTCTGTACCAGATGTGAACATTGGCCCTGAGCCTGGTTTTAAACAAACAGGGTGAAATGGAGCTACCTTCACCCTGCTCTGCCTAATTTCTTTTAAGGCCTCATTTCAGCAAGGTGTTTATAAGCACAAAAGTAGTTCTACTGAAGTGAACAGGACTATCGTGTGTTGAAATGCTTACAGCCTCTGCAGTTATTGCCTAAGCAATGGGTAGTCGTCCATTTACCATATGATAGCTGACAAATGCCTCTTTGATCGATATGAATTTCTGTATTTTTTAGAAAGACGAGCTCTGCAGTGTTCTACATGAAATGTAGTAGTTGAGAATCTCAGCCGTTTCCACATGGACAGATCTCAACATCACATGATAGCCCACCAATTTGGTGCTGTTATAAGCATCTTGATCAGAGGGGGCAAGGACTGAATGGACACAGAGGCTTTGGTATGCCTAGACTGCAAAACACCCAAATGGTGGCTAACTCTGGTTGGCTAACCCAAGTTTGGGGTAACTCCAGTTAAAATACAGTACAGATAGGTTAAATTGGAGTTGCTCTAGTTGGTAGCTCAAATTCAACCCTAGACTCTCCAGTGTTAACATTACACTATAGCTAAACTTTGTATTAATCAGCAGACTGCAAACTGTATTGGTCGCATTTAATATGAAATAGGAATTGGTTTTAAGTTCTGACTTTGAAACTGGTTAATTCAATGTTTAATTTTCAGTCTCTAGAATGATTTAATAACCACATTGTACCATTATCATTATGCATTGCCCAGATGGATTCTAACCATATTTGTTCATGTGGCTTGGTACACGTACAAAGCATATCACAATGCTTTCTTGCTGTCTTTTTATCTCTTGTGGTTTAGGACTTGCTGTGGGCCTGGATCCAGAGGGATATGGGAACCCTGATTTCTGCTGGCTGTCTGTTCATGATACCCTTATTTGGAGTTTTGCAGGGCCCATTGTGATTGTTGTAGTAGTAAGTATTGTGGAGCTTGCATCTTGCACTAACTCTTCTCTATTACTACCTCTGTCTTTTTGTTATACCACCAACTAGAAGGGTCCCTTCCAGCCCTAATGTCTATGAAATATGAAAACTATTTATAAGATTATTTAAACCTGAATTTTTGTATCCGGTTTGGCATCCCTTGTGTGAGAAAGTACAGTTCACATGAGCTAGTCTAACAGTAGGGCACTGTTTTCAGTTCCTCATGTGAGTAACAGTTACATAGTCAGACCCATCATCTCTACTTTTTCCTACCACCCTATTGAGGGTTTCATTTAGGGTGCAGACAGAAGTGACATTTTTTGCCAGATCTGGCCACAGAAAGTGGGGGTCCACTGATGTAGATTTTTGGGGTCAATTCCAGCCCAGCAGCTTGAAGAGCTGCGTGCAGCTGGTAAGTCTGGTGTGGTGGAAGGGGAAGGGGAGTGGAGCGGGACAGATCAAGGGCCCCATGGTGAGGAAGAAGTGGGGCTGGGGCTAGGGCAAGTAATCCCTAGCCGGGGCAGGGCAGAGTGGGTGTGGGATAGAGCCGCTGCTCATACGGGGTGGGGCACGGAGGGGGAACGGCTCCTGCCACTGCGCGCCACTTGTCTGGGAACCACTGGTCTGGTGGCTCATCCAGCACTCACCCACTCGCCTGGTGGCTCCCACCACTTATCTGGGAAGACATGGGGGGGCATATGCCCCCGGATCTGTGTAGGGTGGGGCTGCATGCAGGGCTGGCAGCAGTGGCACTGGGAGAGTTACAGGGGGGGCTGCAACCACCCCAAAATTCACTGTAGTCCCCCCAACCCCCTTTCCCGGCACTGCTGCCACCTGCCCGGTGCAGCCCCAGCCCGCTGGGAAGAGCCCACCCTGCCCCGTGCAGATCTGGAGGCACATCCCTCCCCCCAAACCCTCCTGGACAAGCAATGGGAGCCACCAGGCGAGCAGACAAGCGCCGAATGAGCTGCTGGACCAGCAGCTCTTGGACAAGTGGCACGCAGCGGTGGGAGCTGCCCCTCCCCCCCGCACCCTCTGGATGAGCCATGGCTCCGTCCTGCGCCTGCCCCCACCCTGGCTGGGCAGCACTTGCCCCAGTCCCTGCCCCAGCCCCGCTCCTCCCTCACCACGGAGGCCTTGTTCTGCGCCCCCCACACCTCTTCTCTTCCCCCTCCCCTTCCAGCACACCTGACTTCCAGCTGCACGCAGCTCTCCAAGCTGCCTGGCAGTGCTCCTTGCCACCTACATGCTGCGCTGTGGCTGCGCACATGCACAGGCCATTTATCGGCCAAATTATTGGCCATATCAGGCCGATTTCTGATACAGTCAATTTTCTTTATATCGGTGCTGATCCAATATTGGGCCAATGTATCAGTGCCCCTCTAACAGAAAGTAGTTTATAGCTGGGACCAAACACAAGTGCATGGCTACAGACAGCTTCAAAAATGGCTGATCAGGTGAAAATCTGACTCCTCATTGCATGTCCAGGAGTTCAGTCTGCAATTTTTTCAGCTGCCCCTGGAGCGTGGATTGGGTGTATTGGAGGCCCCCCCCACCAAGGTGGAAGGGCTCCAATTCACCCACCCTACCCTTCAGCCCCAAGAGCAAGCTCCCTCCACTGCCTTTCTCCCTCCAATTCTGAAAACAGCAAGCACTGGCAGAGAGCTGTGGCCATTGCTAGTGGAACCCAGTTGCAGGCTCCCAGCCCACACCTAAATTTCCTTCCCCGCTGGAACCAACAGTGAACTTCTGTTTGGTCTGGGGTAACTTTGTAACTCAGAGTGATATAATGAATCTCAGAGAGAGAATTATAAGAAGGTCCCTGATGGATGTTGACTCAAAGCTGGGGCATCTTAGGAATATGAAGTAACCTGTAACTTAAAAGGAAAGCCCTTTGCAAAGCAGACCTTTCTATGTTAAAATATTCCTGCGTCCGTGAAAACTGAGCTCAGTCAAATTCTATAAAAGGTCCACATGGTGTCATTTAAATTTCCCTTTCAGATAAATACTGTCATCTTTATACTAGCAGTAAAAGCATCCTGCAGAAGAAGGCAACGTTCATTTGAAAAAACAGGAGTCGCGTAAGTTTGCTGGCAAAGCTCAGACTGAAAGAAATGTTCCTGGCCAGGGATAATAAAAAGGTTGACCACACCCCTCTAAAGAGAACCTAAGAAGGCAGGGAAGGAAACAGGGTGGCTGAGGAAACAGAATGGGAGTAGTTTGCATTGACAGAAAAGGTTAAGTCTCTGTGCCATCATTTATCCCCATCCTTCTCTCCTTGGCTCTGTAGAAAAACTTCCTTAGGGTGGGTAGCTTAGAAGTGGGTGTAGATAGGAAAGAAAGGGGAAAAGATGAATTGTTGACTGCTCTACAAGACACCCATTCAAATCCACCCCAAACCTTCTCACCATTGTCTTCCATGAAATTCCCTACTGCAGCATACCTTCTCAGCCTGACAGTGTTTGAGCCAGGTATAGGCAGACACCTCAAGCTATATTTATGATCACAGTAGATGTGAGGCTGAGAGAAATTTCCCCTTTTTTCCCTCATATGCCATTAGATCCATGGTTTTGCTTCAGGGACTTCAGGGGTGCTCTTCCCTTTTGCTGTCTTAGCAAAGGTCTTTTAAGGCAACATCTCTGCCCCACCCTGCTGAAGAACAGCCTCCCCCACCCAACGCTGAATGGACTGAGGGACTTAACAAGCTGAAACTCGTTGAGTTTCCTAGCTTCTGTCAAGCTGTTCCTATTTAAGTTCTGTTATATCCAAAGCTTGTAATTTACCTATAAACTACAATGTGATTAGATAATGGCTTAGACAGCAGTTCTTGGGAATTCAGAAGGCTTTCTCTGGCTGTCTGTAACAGTGACCTGGGAGTTGTTTAAGAAACAACAAACAAATGCTTCTTTGCAAGTTTCTCTTTTAATATCTGCAAATGAAGAGTCTAAATGCCATCCAGTAGCAGGTTGTATTTGGCTCAATCTGTATTTTTTTTTAAATAGCCTTTGCCAATAGAAGTCTTTGTGCACATATAGTCCCATACAACCATGTATTAAATGAAACTGACTTCCATCTGATGGGAATGTCAGTAGCCATTTTTCCTTGAAAAAATGCTGAACTTGTTAAATGATAATGTACACAGGGCAAAATCATATTTTAAGCCACATTACAGATAATGTTGCAGAGACAGGGTTCCCAGTCTGATTTGTAGTTCTAAGATCCAATCAACTGTGTCTGTAATAGTGATGGAAACGATTCCAAACTTCTTGTTTGAAATGCCCATAATCAGTTCACTAGTCTATGCACCCTCTCAAAGCCAGGATTATGCACTACATAGCAACTGTGGCCCTGAGATTTCAGGAAATTCAGTACGTTAGTTGGTGTCTGGGGTATTGTGAGGCCGCGTTATATTATATTATTATTTTTCTGTCTTAATGTGAATGATTTTATCTGTGTGTGTTTAGCTCTGTGCTGCGAACTGCTTTCCTCCTCTTGCTGCTGATCAGTGCCACATGGTTACTGGGGCTGATGGCAGTGAACAGTGATGTCATGACATTTCACTATCTCTTTGCCATCTTCAGCTGCTTGCAGGTAAGTTGTGCCTTCATATTGCATTTCTTCATATTCATAATATGCTACAGGCTAAAGAGTCCTCTCTCTTCAGTACTCCTCTCTACACGATAAGCTCGTAGTAAGCTAAGACTTTTGGCTCTGAAAACTCAGAATTTTGCAGCCCAAGAAGATGAGATGTCCTAGGTGCAGCTCTTGTCACTGACTTGTCTCAAAGGGGGAATTCTTTTCATTGAGGCAAACAGTTACCACCACCCTCTAATAAACAGCACCTTTTTTTTCTAACCAAGTGGTTCTCTTTTGGTCCAGATGTTCTCATACTGGAATTCATGACAGACAAACATACTGTGCAGTTAAACTACTTACAAAAAGATGCTATTGACCTCAGAGACAACCTCAAACCTGAGACCATCACTTAAATACTAAACAAACAAACATTGATGTGTTAATACTGTGTTTTACTAGCACTATGAGTAATGGTGTGTCTTGCATTCAACATGGACAGCTTAAGGTTTTTATAGATCCATAGGAAAGATTATTGGAGAGTCAGACATCACTTTCAAACTAAGTTAGGGATAGTTCAGCTGTTCAGCAGCAAACTTAATATGTTGAAGGTCACGATACACACATCAGCTCATTAATAATGTACTGTACAATTATTTATACTGCGCCTGCAGAAATATTAATGAAATTCAGGATCCAGGTCATTGATTTGAATGTAAGCCAGGATGGAGTAACCAAAAATTACTAGCATCTTTTGGCCTGTCTGAAATAAATTGGTGGACAATTTACAAACAGACCTTGTTCATGTCTAGTTACCAGCTTGCAAGAGAGGCAACAGGCTGAATGTAGCGATGAACAATGTTTTTTTCCAGGTCAGAGGAGAGGCAGAAGGGTATGTCAGTGTAGGGGGGATACTTGTACTGCCACTGTCTGTGTTGCAATCACTCCATTATGGAATAAATTCATTTTAAATCTTTTCAGATCTTTGGGAGGGAACCAAAATAAAATGATCTATGATACAAGCCATCAGGAGGAGGAGGAGGAGCAAAGAAGCTGGAATTTTCCTTAAACTAACCTGGAGAGCCACCACAATGCATGACATTTCACATCACTGGCTTCTTTGAACTTTTATATACTAAAGAGACATATAATTTTATTAATGAATAATCCCTTGGAGCTGAGGCCAAATGGGACTGCACCAACTGAATATTTAGAAAGTGAGCCTAAAGCTTAATGCTAGTCTTAGTAAAACTGACCTGGCTGCAGGCATGAAATGCAGGCATCCTGGGACATTGCTATTACTGAAACTTCATAAGTGGTAAATTTAAAGCACCATACCTGCAACCCAACTAAGCAACAAATTTGGCAGCTGCATCAGCTGGTCCCCAATGAGTATGTGTGTGCTGCAAAAGCACCATTAATGTATAACCCTGTTCTGGCCAAGAGCAGCCCTATCACAGGTAACAGTATTATTGCCAGGAACAAGAATAATGTGCACAGTGACTGGTTGCAGGAGCTACTGCTACTTCAAAGAACAAATGGGTGTCAGCACAAGGGATCATGTTTAAGAAAGATTGCAGAATGGCCTCTACTAGTTTTAAGTGCCCAACTTCTCCCATGCTTGAGTCTCTCATTGTTGGCTATGATATTTTGATAGGTTCCAGCATGCTTATTAGTATTTGGACTCTCAGTCAGAGCACAAACTCAAAAATCTTAATTCTGAAATATATGAAGGGATCATTACAGTTTTTGCCAGTGTGGTGGAGTGCTTGTATTAAAGCATGGACAGCATACTGGAATTAGGAGGTAGTTTGAAAATGTGCACAACTTTCCTCTTGTTTTTTCAGTTAAATCTTGTACTTCTCTCCCTCTCTGTCTCTCTCTCAATCCAGGGACTTTTCATTTTCTTCTTCCACTGTATATTTAACAAAGAAGTCAGAAAGCACTTGAAGAACACTTTAACTGGAAAGAAACCTTTTCCAGATGACTCTACTGCAACAAGAGCTACATTATTAACTGTAAGAAAAAGTTTTGAAAGGTGTTTTTGTTATAATAGAAATTAGCTCAAATATATTTCTAGGCTGTTACTTGTCCCCAAAAAGATTAATTCCATCCCCAGCTTACAACAATTCTCCAAAAGACTATTTAAAAACAGCAGTCAAGACTCTTGAGTGTAGGAAATCATTTTGAGTAAACTGTAGCATCATGAAGCTATTAGAGCCCATTTAGTTCATTCAAGTTTTTTTTTGTGCAAATGCTTACAGTGTGGAGTTTTACAAAGAACTGTAATTTTATTCTCACAGAGTTCAAAGAAGAGGTTGCATAGGTGAATTGTAGTTATGTATTTTGCTTTCAATCAGGGGTGCTCAACCTCTGGCCTGTGGGCCAGTTACGACCCACAGAGCCATCTCATTTGGCCTGCAGCATTCCACACAGGTCCAGAAATTTGTGGCAGGGTAACGGTGGCCATTAGTACAGCCATCCTCTCCCCTGCCAAATTCCCAAGCCCTATGCAGCATCAAAGCTTGGCCATGTCCCCTTTCCCCATGGGGCCAAGCCACGCACCCTGCCGCCCACCTCACACTGTGGCTTCTGGATCAGGTCTGGACCACATCCCCTTTTCCTCTGTGAAGGTAGGCCAGGGGCTGACCATGCCCCTTCCCTCTGTGGGGCCAGGTCAGGGCCTGACCATGCCCTCCCCCCCTCCCCACAGGGCTGGTCAAGCTCTTTTTCCCTGTAGGGTGGTTCTGGGGCAAGCCTGCCCCCCGCACCTCTGTGTGCAGCCAGATGGTGCCCATCATGCCCACCCTGAGCACCAGAGTAAGACCACTGGTCCACAGGTGGACCATCTGGCCCACCAGGGAAAAAGCTTGAGCACCACTCTTCTAAACTGATTATTTTTCAGCAGTTTTCTAGCTCTTTAGTACAGGTGACCCTCGCCATTCGTGGGGGATACGTTCTCGTATCCCCTGCAAATTGCGAAATCTGCGAATAAGGCACTGCGTTCATGAACACAGTGCCCCCAGCAGCTGGGAGGGGGGCGCAGGTGTGGTGGCAGCGGGAGCCTGGTGGTAGCAAGCACAAACCTCCCAAGGAGCTCCTGTAAGTGTATAAAGTGGGGTGGTTGTTTACATTACCCTTGTTATACAGGTAGGAAGCTGAGGCAGACAGATTAAGACCCAGATCCTCAAGAGTGATTTAGGGCACCCAGATTTCAATGCGTGCTGGGTGCTCAAGTGCTTTTGCAGATTTTGGCCCGCATGCCTGATTTTCAGTGTTCTGAGCACTTGCAGTTCTAGCTAGTTCTAGCAGGAAATGACCTGCTTGGTGGAACGGAAGCGGAAAGGGATCTTGGAGTCCTAGTGGACTCCAAGATGAACATGAGTCGGCAGTGTGACGAAGCCATCAGAAAAGCTAATGGCACTTTATCATGCATCAGCAGATGCATGACGAACAGATCCAAGGAGGGGATACTTCCCCTCTATTGGGCGCTGGTCAGACCGCAGTTGGAGTACTGTGTGCAGTTTTGGGCGCCGCACTTCAAGATGGATGTGGATAACCTGGAGAGGGTCCAGAGAAGGGCCACTCGTATGGTTAAGGGCTTGCAGGCCAAGCCCTATGAGGAGAGACTGGGGCACCTGGACCTCTTCAGCCTCCGCAGGAGAAGGTTGAGAGGCGACCTTGTGGCTGCCTATAAGTTCATCACGGGGGCACAGAAGGGAATTGGTGAGGTTTTATTCACCAAGGCACCCCTGGGGGTTACAAGAAATAATGGCCACAAGCTAGCAGAGAGCAGATTTAGACTACACATTAGGAAGAACTTCTTCACAGTTAGAGTGGCCAAGGTCTGGAATGGGCTCCCAAGGGAGGTGGTGCTCTCCCCTACCCTGGGGGTCTTCAAGAGGAGGTTAGATGAGTATCTAGCTGGGGTCATCTAGACCCAGCACTCTTCCCTGCCTATGCAGGGGGTCGGACTCGATGATCTATTGAGGTCCCTTCCAACCCTAGCATCTATGAATCTAGCCAAAGAGCAGGTGCACCTTTGCCAATGGACCAGAGGTGGGGTTGTGGAGTCCATGACAGTTCTTGCTCTGGTCTTCTCTCTCATCTACTTGTATCCATTAGATAAACTGGTAGTTTATCAAAAAGCCTGAGTCTGAACTGATTCAATCTTTGCAGGTTAGTCTAACCTGGCTAGGCTAAATCACTTTGTAACCATACAGGCATCCCAGACATGCAGGCACATGGCTGCTGTGGCTCAAGCTAGAAGCAGGGGGGTGCTAGAGCAGCACTCCCTTCCTTCCACAGTACTGAGCTGAGCGGGGGAGTGGCCAGGCCCTGGCAGGACACTCTGATTATGGTGGTTAATGACTCCATTATTGTGGTGCAGTCAGATTGTGTATGAGGAGGATAAATCTCATCTTTGCATGAGACAAATTTCTTGAGGGTCAGAGCTTGAGAATAAGGAGCAGACGCATTCAAAAATGAAAGGTTGCTTATCATCACAGACTTCAGTACCGTCTGCTTCAAATGTGAGGCGCACATCCTAGATCTGTTGTCTCTAACACACACACAGCAGCACAGACAGAATAAAAGCCTTTCCAAACCAACCCCTGCACCGCATGTTCAGTTCTCCTCTTGGGGAGATATACGATCGAACCACACGTGACAGATGTTAACACTGACTCAAAGGTATTCAAATACTGCAGTAGTATAGTATCAGAGCTGGGATTATAACTTGGGAAGTTCTCACTTGAGTCCTGTGTTCAGGCCACTCAAACTCTGGGGTGCATGAGATATGAAAGGCACTATTACCTATTGGGAGAAGCAGTTTAAACTCACATGTACTAACACAGGGGTTTTCAACCTTTTGGAAAAGTGTACCTCTGGCAGCCAGATGCGGAGTGGCTGGGGGAAGGACTGGCACACCGCTGAATGCAGAGCAGTGGCAGCCACTGCCTGCGACTTTCCCCCTCCCTCGTGTCTGGGCAGGCTGCAATTGCACAGCAGCATGAGATGGTGCGTGGCGGCACGCCATCCCCGCCCACTGATGCATACCCCCTAGGGCCTTCTCAGGTACCCCTGGTCAACAGCCCCTGTACTAACAATTTATTCTCTCCAGCTGCCATGTTCTCTCCTCCTGATGGTAGCTAAAGGAAAGTTGTTTTAACTGTTGTCATTCACTACTGCTATTTTTTTGTCAGCGTTCTCTGAACTGTAACAACACATATATAGAGGAGCCAAATATGTATCGTACAACTATTGGGGAATCCACTGTCTCCCTAGAAAGCACCGTCAGGTCAGCCAAGAGCCACAATAGCTACCTTGCTTATATTCTCAGGTAATCAGGTGGCGGGTGCACGGCTTTCAGGCCTTTACTTTAACTTTTCCTTTCTCCTGGCTTTTTTGAAACAGAACAAAACAAAACAAAATTGTCTTGGTTCAAATGCTGCTTGTTCCCTATGTCTTAGCAGTTTTGCTTTGTGTGGTTGTTGTCTTTGCATTTTCCTCTGTTCTTCTCATTTGCATGCAACTGTAGCGGGCAGTACGAACTCAAATTAGAGTGGAATGGCAAAAGCATTTTCCCTATTAGTTCCATGCAGCTTGCTTGCTCCGGTGATACAAGTGACAGTGCAGAGCAGAGTTTTAAATCTGTCTCTGTCTGTCTAGTTTTTTTGCTAATAGCATATTGACCAAAATCTGTCCCCTCTTTTTATTTTTTCTAAGGGACGAAGCTGCTCATAAGCTCAGTGGGTCTTCAAGTCAAGCAAGAGCTGGTCATACAGAAGTAGATTCTTCCATTTTTCATAGGAATCCATCAAAATCCAATGGTAAGAGACTTTGTTTGAAAACTGTTTTGAACTACACCTGGATTTCTTCCTCCTTGGCACTTAAGTATAAACAGAAGGATACTGTGCATCTGCATCTTGCTTTCTCTCCTTCTCAGTGCAAATAGCTGTAATGGCACAATTTAGATGGGGTTGCCATAGTTACCAAGTATCTTTGTCAAAGACAGTGTTTTAGAGCGAGAATGCCACAGGCACATATCTTTTTGTATCGTGGGCTGTTTGTGACCGGTTGCCACACCTGACAAAGAGCTGTTTCTGGATTCTTTTTTTTCATAAGTTGTGCACAGGTTCTTTTACTTGCCTTTTAGTTGAAAATCTTATGGTTAAGAGCTTGCAGAAGTGTCTTCCTTTACCGCACTGCGTTTTGTGTACTGAACTGAGGAGTATCTCTCAGGTTCGCTTGGTTTATATTTAGCATGTGGATGTTAAGGCTTTTGCTGTATTCTTTTGTTAGCATATATTTCATATTTCTGACACTTCTGGGTTTTCTCAGTGTTTTATGCTAGAGGATCTGTGTGTGTACCATGTATCCATTTAAGTTATGTACAGATCTTCCGTCTCTTTCTTCTCATTGCTCCATAATTCTACAGAAAATGCATAAACACTGCCAACATTCACGGACCATAGGAGCTAACAATATAGGATACAGGGGCTAAAAACAGACAACCAGTGTGATGCGGCCCTGATTAGGCCGCGGTATGACCCGCACCAAAACAGATATGGCACAGCCATTTACACACTAGACTTCAATGGCAATTAAGGTGAATTAGTTGCAATTGTTCCAAGAAAAAATGTTAATTTGAATAAATTACAGGTACTTAATGGGGGACATTGAGTTTGGCTGTCTATAAGGTCTGGATTTGATGTGGCACAAAATGTTCCAGTGTGACTCAAACTGGTTATCTGTTTTTAGCCTAAAAGGTCCTGCCTGGTTGCCTATAATTAGCAGCCATGTTTCATGGGATTTCCTCAAATGCAGACTTTTGCATCAGTACACTAATCTCACCTGTCATGTGAGCAACAGAATTGTATGGTGTCCATGAGCATTGTCTCTAACATCTTTCTTTCATCCTGTTCATTTGGCAGATGGGTTTACATGACCACCTGTCAGGTGCTAATTTCTGTGTTTCTTGATACCCCCCCACCTTCTGTAGACCATGATTCTGATTCTGACAGTGAGCTGTCTCTTGATGAACATAGCAGTTCCTATGCCTCCTCCCATTCATCAGACAGTGAGGAAGATGGGATTCAAACAGCAAAGAAATGGAACACAGCTACTTCCAAAAATAATGAACGTGGCCCTCTTCACAGTACTCCCAAAGGTAGGACTACTGCTCAGGTTCTCAGAATGGCTTCCTTTCCTATATTAAAAGAAATCAGTTGAGCAGTGGATGCAACAGATTGGACCAAGACAGTATAGAGCTGCATGTCTGTTGTGTTATTGTTGATGTGGTCAAGAGATCCTTGTCTCCTGGAGCTCTTTCTCCTACAGGAGTTTGTCCCCTGTAGTGAGTGAATACAAGAACAGAGGATATCTGAGCAAGTCTGCACCAGCTACTTAGAATACCAGTGCAGAATAGCAGTTAACATTGCAGTCCTGCAAAGCTGTAACTGTCCACAAACCCCAGCAGATGAAAATGGCACTGCTCAAGTAGCTCTAAATGTCAGACACAAAGTAAACCTTAACTAAACCTATCCCAGGTCTCCCAGGTTTTAAACTGATGCCTGTACAGCCAATATTCACCCAAGTTTCCAGAGCTTCAGAGTACTTTTTTGTTTAGGAGAGCATTTTTGACAAGCTCATTCACTAGTGTAGCTAGCACTGGGGCTCTGGCTAAAATGGTGGTGATAGCTTTCCATTCAGCTCTTTAAAATAAGTCTCTGATCGGTGTCATACAGCATTATGTGATCACCTTGCAAATTGACAGTTCTGCAAAGTGTAAAAGCAATTGTGAGGATTTGCTTCATGCACACAAAACAATTTCCTGGCTTCCAAGAGACAAGCTGCACTAATATTGCAGATTTTTACTAATATTGCAGGTTTTTTTACCTGTGGGTTTTTAACATTCTACCATCTGAGTGCCCACACCTCCCATCACTTTGTAGAAAGAGGAATTTGCTAGCAAGAACAGTATGAAACCATTTCTGTTTCAAGGCTAGACTACCCCCGCATACTGTGGGGAAGGGTGCCAGGAACTCCACACTGCCTCTTTAGCAATCGTGGCCAGCAGTACAACCCATCTGCTGTCCCTGGACTACCTCAAACATAGTGGCTGCTTTGTGCATTCATCCTCTTGGGTGCAACACATCTCAAACTGTGGGGAGGAGATGGTAAGGCCATGTTTTCAACACAGCCAGACCCTTAGGGAAGAAAGAAGAGCCTGTGACAAGGTACTCCAGGAAGGCCTCTGGACACAGAGTCCTCCCAGAGCTCCACTTTGGGCAATGTTCATTTAATTGCTGCCAACATGAACATTTTTAACTGGCATGAAGAAGCCTTAAGGCAGAAGGTCAGGTTAGGGTGTCTTTACAATTGATCCACAGCTATCAACAGAAAACCACTCCAAAGAATAAGAGCAGCCAGGCAGTAGTGGAGGGAAGAACTGTATTGTCAAACAGTGTTTTTCAAGCCAGTGTCTTTTTGCATTGCAGTTGATTCCATACCCAACCATGTGAAACCATATTGGCCCACAGAGTGTATAACGGGAAGCGATGGGGAGGACCCTGGTGGCAAACAGAAACTGAAAGTGGAGACAAAGGTCAATGTGGAGCTCCATGGGGAAAACCAAGCGAACCGCAGCAGTGAAGCACCTCAAGACAAAGAGAATGAAGGGCAGCAGAAAGAAAACAGGCCTTTGCCCCACCAGAATAACCAGCAGCCAGAACAGAGGAAAGGTAAAACAGCCAACCCACAGAGACTCCAGCTGAAGTTTCCTACAGGGAGACACTGAGGAATTTGCCAAATTCCTCCTCACTTAACCGAGTCTAGTAGCTTTTCTGGTAATCTCCTGTAAGATTTGGGGATGAGGGGTAGAGAGGCATTCACCAAGGTGGGCCACTGGATATGATTCATGTTTAAGCAAAACATGGGAGGGAAGGAATACCCTTCCAACAGGCTTTGGCCTATATAACCAGAGGTGTCTCCAGAGAGCCCGTAGCTCCAGGGATGTTTTTTTGGCTTGGTCAGGGCTTTGGGGACAAACAAAAAGTAAAGAGATTTAAAAGGACATTTCTTAAATGTGTTCTGATTGAGAAGACGTCACTGGTGTGCTTAAAACTCATAATTTTTCCATCCTTCTTCCTGTAATAGGTATCTTAAAAAATAAAGTCTCCTACCCTCCCCCTCTGCTGGACAAGAATATGAAGAATCGACTACGGGAAAAGTTGTCAGATTATAATCAAGCCACAATCTCATCCAGGACTATGGCCTTAGGCACAAATGATGGGATGCGTTCACCCTCGGACACAGGGGTGACGATTAAAAATCCACGGAGAGAACAGTCTCGTGATCAGCTCAATGGGATGGCTATGAACGTCCACGTGGGAACAGTAAATGCAGAGACCTCAGATTCTGAGTAAGTGCCTGTTTGACAGCTTGCCCACTGCCCAGGATCACTGGCTTTACCCTTCACTTCCTTGCCCTGAGTTGACGTCCACACAAGTCTTTTCACTTTAGACTTTTTAGGCGATTGGATCACAGCCCTCAACCACTTGGCATCTCACAAAATAGAAAAAGAAAAACAAAGCCATAGGAAGCCTGCTCAACGATTCTACATGTTACAGCTAAACATGTACTATAGACCAGCAGCTGGCAACCTTTAACAGTCTGGCACTGGTCTGATGCAGGCCAAGTGGCTTTGCTGGCACATCAGTGGCAGGGGCTTTCCCTGGGCCAACACTGCTCTACTTTTCCCAGCCCCTTGATCTGCAGCTGCAGTGCTGGCACAGCTTCCAGCCAGCGGAGAGCTGCACTGGGCCTGGGCAGCTACAAACTGTATATACCCTGTTTCTGCTTCTCCCTGCTTCCTTTCTGCCCTTCTCCATCCCCTACCTCCCAGACCTGGAGCAGCTCCCAACCAGTTGGAGGGAGTGCCCACGCTGAAGCTGGGGAAGGAAGTCTAGGCATGGGTCCAAGCACAGGGAAAGCCATCATCCTTATCCTCTCCCACCAACCACCATGAAAAACACCCACAGAAAAGGTAGAAGGCTGAGAGCTGTAGGG